TGATATTGATCAGCTGGTAAATTGAGCAGAGCAATGGCAGATGGAATTTAATCGCATTAAGTGTGAGGTGATGCATCTTGGGAGGTCTAATGAGGGAAGGATATACACAATGAATGGTAGGTCCCTAGGGAATACTGAGGAACAAACGGACATTGTCTACAGGCCCATGGATCCCTGAAGGTGCCAGCACAGGTAGACAGGGTGGTGAAGAAGGCACACAGGATGCTTGTCTTCATTAGCCACTGTGTGCAATATAGGAGCAAGGAAGTCTTGTTGCAACTTTATAAAGCATTGGCCAGAGCACAGTTCAAATACCACACTATCTGAAGGACGTGACTGCACTGGAGATGGTACAGAGGGCATTCACCAGGATGGAGTGGAAAGTCTCAGTTATGAGGAGAGACTGGATAGGCTGGGTTGGATTTCCCTGCAGCAGAGGAGGCTGAGGGGACTCTGATTGGGGTATATAAAGTTATGAGAGGCATAAACAGAGTAGATTGTGAGAATCTTTTCCCCATGGCAGATGTGTCTAAAATCAGAGGGCAAATGTTTAAGGTGAGGAGCAAGTGATTTAGCGGGGAGCTGCAGAAAAATGTTTTCATCCAAAGGGTTTTATAAGTAGGGAATGTGCTGAGAGAGGGTGGTAGAGGCAGGTACTCTCACAATATTTAATAAGCATCTGGATGAGTACTCACAATGCCAGGACATAGTATGGACCAAGTGCAGGTAAATGGGATTAGTGTAGTTTGGTGTTTGTTGGCTGGCATAGACATGGTGGGCCAAAGGGCCTGTTTCTGTGCTCTATGGCAATAAATTTGTCAAGCTATTAACTCATTTCAATTCCCCAGAGCTCTAATTTTTAAAAAACACAGTCAGCTGCCTCTGTGAGTTGAAAGAATGGTGCTTGCAATTTCAATATCTGATAGTTGACATAAGCCTGAGGGCTATGATTGTAGTGTGTCATACTATTCAACTTCCTCCACAAACTACATTTTGTCATGAAGTTGGGGTGGGCCTGTGAGCTCACTGTTTGATTGACAATTCTGAGATGGGGTTCTAAATATATACAAATGTTTATTCTTATTGCATTAAGTAACAAAAGGATTTAATATATTGAATGGGTTTTCATCAGTGAGACATTTTTAATATTCTGTGAAGTCTGTAAATAAATGATGCTGATGTTTAAATTTGCTTAAGTTCAAAACAGGCCTACATGGTCCAGTGGTGGAATTCCATCTTATGTTAAAGCTGTGTGGTGAGTTTTGTAAGTGTGGGATGGTGGGTTACAATGACTGCTTTGCTTGTTGTGAACAGCTGAAGGCTTGTGCTGTTTGATAGGATTTGCCAATCTTTGGGGCATTCAGACTGCATGCCTGGCATCACACCCGCACTGAAACGCATATACCAGATTACTCATCTGTATCAGAGGGAAAACGTCTTTTTGATTTGATAACAGTATCCTGTTTGCGACAAACACCACCCACAGTGCCACTGTATCACAGCAGCACTAAACAACCAGCCAAATGAGTTGTGGCAGTGGGTGTGTGACCTTTCGGAATCTCTCTTCAAAGTAACAGGCACAGATTCAATGACCTCGTTCTATGCTGCACCATTCCAGTTTATCGGATCCAAAATACAATGGAAAGGTGCTCAACAGAAGTTGAGACAATGGGCACTTATAATACCATCATGTACAAGGCTACAAATCTCGTGCTGAGAAATGGGATGAGAACAAATAGAATGTTGACGACGAGCACAGACACAATGGGCCAAAGGGCCTTTTCCTGTGCTGCAACATCTCCACAACTCTCTCAGCTTCTGACAGAGATGAAGAGGCTCAGAAACAAGAGAAACTCCTGACCCATAGTCTCACGCCTGAACATATTTATGTCACAATTTCCATGTCTCCTGTCTGTTATTTGAATGTCGATCTAAACATTGTAATTCCAACTCTAACCACTGGAGATGCTACAAGGCCCCTCAAACGTTTATAGTAGGAGTGCTCAACAACATTTACCTGCAACATACTAACATTTCAGATTGGTATGGAACAGAGCCACCCAGTTTAAACGGATCTGCAAGTTACAGAGACACAGATGTAGAGCAAACCTTCAGATTCCAAGACCCAGTGAGCACCACACACCAAACAGTGACTTCATGGAGTTTGGAGGCTTCGCTTTAATGGAGCATGTGAGAAGATTTCAAGACTAGGGGGTAGATTTTTAAGTGAGAAGAGAGAAATTTTAAAAAGACATGAGGGGAAAATTTTTTACACAGACGGTTGTTCGTGTGTGGAATGAACTTCCTGAGGAAGTGGTGGATGTGGGCACAATTACAACGTTTAAAAGACATTTGGATAAGTACACAAATAGGAAAGGTTTAGAAGGAAATGGGCCAAGCGCAGGCAGGAGAGAGTGGTTTAGTTTGGAATTATGTTCAGCATGGACTGGTTGGACCAAAGGGTCTGTTTCTGTGCTGTATGACTCTAAAACTGATATGAATCCCCATTTCCTCTCCCTCCCTCTCTCTCACACACTCCCTCTGTCTTTCTCCTGTTTTCCCTCCCTCCCTTTCTGTCCCTCTCTCCATCTCCCTTTGTCAGTCCCTGCTTTCTAATTTGATCGAAAGGTTGATGCAGGAGCTGAAAGAAACCAACATTTTCTATTTTATTCAGTCTGTTACGTGGACTGTCTTGGCTGGAGAATGAGCCCAGACTCGTTTCGGCTCAAACCTCTGGGGAGCTGAGGAGATTTATTTTTTACGCTGTGAGTTGTTGAGACCTGGAATGTGCTGCCTGAAAGAGCAGTGGAAATGGATTCAATAATAACTTTCAAAAGGGAATGGGGGATAATACAGGGAAAGGGAATAATAATTGCAGGGTCATGGGGAAAGACCAGAGGAGTGTGACTGGAAAAGATCTTTAAAAGAACCGGAATAAAATGGATGGTATGAATGGCTTCCTCCTGTGAGTCTGTTTACAGAGACTAAACATTAGATAAAGGTGTTCATATAAACAAAGTTTCTGTAACTTTCTGTGGGACAGGGAAGTTTTTGTTGAGGACTCCTGTTTGACAGAACACGTCAAAAAGTTGAAACATTGGCAACAAATAGAACCTTCATGTGAAAGTGGTGAAAGGGTTTCTCTAATGGCCTGATTAATAACTCAAGAGAAGGACAAAGTGAGGAGTAAAAACAGAGTTAGTGATATCAGACACAACCAGCAAAATCTATTTGCCTGGTTTGCGTTGTCACCAAATCAAAACTTTTAATTTGGTGGGAAAATGTGACCAGAAACTACAGCGCCCAATCAGAATGTGTTCCTGGAGGCTACAAGAGGCTTAACTAATTGAAAACACACGAGAGGCCAGGTGAAAAAGACACAGCTTCCTGGAGCAGGGACACTGTGAACACAATGACGCTCAGGACAAGAACAGGACCACCAGAGGCAAAGAAAACAAACTCAGAATGAAATACAGGTAACCGAGGCAGTTATGTGAAAGCACAGGGAGTATATCATGCAGTTTGGGGCAGCCAGTACAAGAGCCAAATAGCAGGTGTGAGAGGCAATGGGTGAGAGCAGGCTCTTTGGAAACAGGTCACTCATCCTGGTGTGT